TTAATTCATGGTACGATGAAATAAAAATAAATTTTTGGAAGCGCGAAAGTTAGGACGAATCGGGCATAGTTCGTCGATGAAAGAGGTTACTTAAGAAACGAAACGAGCAAAGTTAACGAAGCCACGTGTCGCGCATTAAAAATAGTCTGAATGTAACACCCTGTCACGTATTTTCGCTGTAACGCGTTTTGTACAGGTGAAACCATGAGTTGAAATTGCGCAATGCCATAACTAAATTTCACTTTTACAATAGTTTTATGCTTGATCGTTTCTGCTTAGCTTCGAAGACGACAATAACTGATTACTATTATCGCTGTTACATCGAGTTATTAGCAACAAAAACACAAGTTACAATTATAGTTATCTGCAATCGTTACAAAAATTTTTGAACAAAGTATTGATATTTTTTTTATAAAATCAGATTCCGAGATTGATTATAAAAAGGATTTAAAAATATCTCTTACTATTTGTTTCTTCTTCGAAATTAAATTTTTATGCAAATAAAAAAAAAAATAATAGATTGTCTGGATACATAATAATGCAATCCAAAAAAAGACAGATAAATACCAATCTAAAGAATATCAACGTGTATAAATAAACTGATGATGAAAGATACGTAGGAAGATCAGAAGCAACATGCATAATATTGCGGTGATCTGTCACCGATGCATGTAGATGTCGCTGGATAACATTTCTAGTAACTTAAACGTTATCTAAAAACATCGATCAACCGTCTTCGAGAGCGGCTAATTTATTTGATCTCTAAAATAATCTTGCGAAGCTTAACGCAAAACAATATTTCATCATCGAAGTTTAAAAAAAGTATCCAAGTATTGGATTAAAGTTAAAAAAAAATGAAAACTTATTAATAATAACTTTCATGGTTATTGATGGATCCTATAACGACATAAATAAATATCCACACTTGTTTAATTTACGATATACAATATAATTTACGATATAAAATTTGTAAAATTGAAAAAAAGATTTGAGGAAATTTAGCTTGTCGAGAGTGACAGTTTGATGATTATGTATGTATGTATATCTGTGGATACAAAATTACTAAAGATGTTGAATTTTGATAACCTATCTCGAGATAATCGAAATCAGCAATGCGCGCCTTTTAAGTGATTACCAAAAATTCCAAAGACGTTAATGATTGTTATCGTTAATATGTTTTGATCCGTTGTTACCTCTATTCAAAAATAATATAACGAATATATATATATATATATATATTATACCGATGAATTCTGTAGTACCTTTGAGGTTTCTGAAACTTCACGATTATCCTGGTGTCTTTGGTAAGAGGCTCGGCTGAAATTGCCTGTCTCTTGGCTCTCTGGCCAGATCCAATGCCAGTAGAGGCCAAGCTGAAATCGACGATCTGCCGGAACTTGTCGATCTCGTTGCGAAGATATCGAATAGTAATATCTCGTTCTTCCAAAGCTTTTTCGAGCATCTCGATCACCTCGTCGCGACGTCGAAGCGCCATCGTCCTCTCGTACAGCAATCGTTTTAGATCTCGTATCGAATCCATGATTGGGGGAAATATCTCTTATTTAATTCAATATTCGTAGATAATTTGCTCGCTCTTGGAATATTTTAAGAGGGTGTTTCACGTGTCATGTGCGCTGAAATTTTTAATTATTTTAATTTTATTTTATGTATTTTATACACTTTTACTTCCACACTAATTGTTTCTTCCTTTCATTGAATCACTTTTCATAACGTAATCGATATTCCTTTTTTTTTAAGCTTGGAAGATGAGGTTTTGAATCGTCTTGATCATTCGTTCTTATCACTCTGCACGTATTATTATTATTATTGTTGTTGTTGTTGTTGTTTCGATACAATAATAATTTGTTAGAAAAAAATTTTAGTACAATGACATTCATAGAGATTCTGGAATGGAGTAGATTGTTCGTTATTTAACCGATTTATAATATTTGAATATTAAAAAAAGTTTAAAAATTATGAATCATTTCGTCTATAATAAAATGATTCAGGAAATATCAAGTTATTTCGATGGTTGGTGGAAAGCTACTTTAATAAATGGATAGATAAAAATATGATCGATTAAAACCTTCGATGTATTAGATATCTCTCTAAGATATCTAAGAAACAAATTTAAATTAAAATATCTGCCAAAGATAAAGTTGTATATCTGATTTGAATCGTATTTTGAAAACAATTTGGGACAATTCCATCCACGTTATTTAATGAACACGTTCAACTATCGTTCGCGAGGGAACATTATTGCTTGAACTATAAATCTGAATTTATAGATAAAGATCTATAACGGAAGCAAAACACAGAGTTTCCCAATGATTATTTCTTGTATAGGATCGATAGATCTGGAATTCACGTTTACGATAACGAATTTATTTTGAAACTCGCTCATTGACTGTGAATCGAATGTGAGCTCGAATTTATCGAATTTAAGCAGAATTTCTTATACGCTGTTTCAATAGTATTCAGAATAATTAATGCTAATTAATATTTATCTACATTCATTAGAAATAATAGAAAATCTTTATTTTTTCGATCATAACATAATAAATCGCAACGCGATCGATCGTTTTGACAAGGAAATATTTTAATTCTAAGCCATTATATTACACATTTTATATTATAATTTATTTAAAAAAGAAAAAAATATTGAAAAGAAAATTAACCGTTTTGATGGAAGACGATTTTCCTATTTTTTTTTTTTTCTTTTTGCATCAATTTGTTCCAGCAAGATACCAGGTATTCCGATTATGTAATAGCAATTTCGAACGTTCTTGAGCTTCTCTGATAGAATCGAAATAGGTATACGTACTTTCGAAAATAACCGTGGAATAATAATGATCGACAATTCTGACGACTGGTTGTGGTGTCTTGTCAGCCTTCCTTTTGTATTTTTGAAGCAAGAATAGAATAGAGCTCGCTTTCAAAATTATTCAAATTATATTCATTCCTCTAATAATTGGACTTCACTATCCGATATATTATTAATCATTTTTACCCAACAACCTAGCTATATATATATATATATATAGATTAACGCGTGTAAATTGTATAGATAGATAATTCTTTTACAACGAAACGATTTGGAAAATTACTTTATTGCTTTCCAATTTTTTCACGAGGTTACTTCAATCGATAAAGAATTATTTTTGAAATACTTTTTTTCTTTCTCGTGTGATTAATCACATTGAAATTATCGACGATCGACGAGCAGAATAAATATCGACATCCGGAAGTGTTACAGATAATTTTAATTTGTCAACATGCAAGTGAAAATTTAAAGAGATCATTTCGATGATTTCTACTTGAATAATTTTATCGAGAAAAATGATCAAATATCGGTTAAATTGATTAGACTTTAACCTTTATTTTTTAGGTTAAAAAAAAAATTCCATTCGAATTTTTCCAAACGAAAAACACTATTAAATAAATTACAAATCGCCAATCAATATGCCAATTTCCGCTCACGAACAAATTTTCGACGTACACCTACGATCTTCTAATATTACTTTTCACGCAATTCGTCACCACTTTTGTCTTTATCTTCCTACGAAAATATCACTATTTTCACACGGAATCTCACGTGTCACATCAATCACCATTTCGATAAGGATCTTCGAAAACGATAAACAATAAAATTCACAAAATTAACGTAACGTTTTTTAAACTTTTTAAATTTATCCTTCTACACACCTTCGACACTCTTTATTCACTCCGAACAAACAATCCATATATATATATATATATGTGTGTGTGTATATATATATTAAAAACTTTGCAATTAATTAATTTCTTCAAATCTTCTCGATTAATTAAAAATTTAAAGATAAATAAATCCTAGCCCGATTTCTTTCGATAATTTACAGATACGTAAAAATGGATATATATCGCACAATATTTCTCATTTCGATCGATCTTTGCTGAATTCGTTCCGGAAATATCGAGTTGGATCGATCGATCGATCGCGATCGATGGAGGCGCAGAACCGTCACTTGTAAGAGTCTCCGTCGAACTAACAAGAAAGGCGGTAGATTTGCTCGAAAGAGCTCGATGCTCTCTGAACGATGATGACTGTCGATTAGTGTGAGCTCGTACGGGAAAAGGGATTCACTTTAATTGTATGTTAATACGGGATTGAGATAGTTAATGTCTATTTAATTGCTCCGAGAATCGATATATCGGGCGATTTAATAAGGGTAGGGGGAAGAAACGAGGGGATGTTGCGAAACTGTTGATGTTTAGCTGTTGGAAAAGTCAATTTTTTTTTTTCTTTTTTTTTTTGTATCCTTTTCAAGTTTAAAATATTTTTATTCATGCGATCAGAGCAGAGCGTATTATTATTTTAGTTTGCGCAATGTGAAGAGACAACGAAAGTTTAGTTTAAGTCATCGTAAGCTTATTACAGTTCGCGATGTGAAACGTGTGTGTGCTAGTTTGATTGGAACGATTCACAAAAGGGAAAACGAATTTTCTCTCCTTTCTTCTTAATTTTTTATCCTTCGATCTCTATCCTTATCTCTATCAAGATCATTAACCAATTTTAACATTGTCAGATTGTTACCCAATTTCTTGGGACAATTACCCAATTACGATATTATTACCTAATCTCATTTTTAATCTGGCTGTTTTACATTATTCTTCCATTCTACGAGAGTGTCACTTAAAATAAGATTCTTTTTTAATTTGGCCAACAAATCTGGATAAGAAGATTCACTCGTAATCATACACGTGTAATTGATAACAACATCTATTCAAAAGATACACAAATTGTGATTAATAAAACGGGTTAAGACGTTTGAAAATTATTTTTCCTGATAAACTCCTCTCGATAAATGTGATAAATTAATGCAAAATTAGAAGCAAATTGGAAGATTATTGATAATAGACATAGATCGTTCAATCATTGATTAATTCCTGATTATTTTTTTTTTTTCTTAATGTATTCAATGTATTCGTTACGCATAACTGTTTTAATGCATTAATTATTTAGTCAAACAACAATTCGATTCTATTTTTTATTTCGAAAGTAACGATGGATAATTTATTTCACGTGAACGATTTGATTCGTTTGTTAAAAGCAATTTGACGAATGCTCGATGAAGTCGTGATCGGGTTTAATTGCTTAAATTAAGTAGCCCGAGGAGATCGAATCTAGAAAATTCTGAAGGATATTCGCAACACTGTTAAAAAGCAGGATCAAGATTAAATTTTATCTCGTTGATATTTTCAATATCTGATCGTGAGTTTATCCGAGCGACATTATTTTATTTTCAATCTCACTAATTTTCTCAAAATTGGAATGTAATCAACGAATGCGCTGAATTTAAAAATCTTTGAAAGATAAGAAGAAAATTTTTTAAGCATAATTAATTCCTCTTATAGAATGAATTGAATGATCAAATATCGGCTAATTTACGAACGAAATGAAAAATTTATTATTCTACGGATATTATTATTAATCTATATATAAATAAATAAAAAGGAATAGAGTTAGTTATTAAAATTGGCTCCATTACAGAATTTAAGAAATAAATTCGTTCGTAGAAATAATTATCGATAAAATTCGTCTTGTGAACGTTGATCATCATAGCTCGAGCAAAATGTAAATCCAACGAAATGTAACCATTAAATCTTCTTTGAAGATATAATCAAAGTAGCAAAAATCACCACTCAGATTACCAACCGTAAATTCGATCAGTAAAAATAATCATTAACTCTCTCCCTCCATCACCGAAATACCCCCACCGTCTATTTTAACATCTCTATTTTTAACCGTTTTATTATCAACACACTTAAAACGGAAACCAAATTGTGAATCCTCTACCTTCGTAAATTTTTAATTCCTCACGCTACCAATGTCGAAAACAATTTGTTTATACCTCAACGTGAAAAATTTCTATGCCAATGCTATTTACGACGTCGTTTCTATCTTTTTTAAATTTATATCTAAATTATCTTGAATCTACATTATTCTAAGTTCTCAAAGTTTTATAAATATATATATATATATATTTTTTAAACGTTTCTTCTTACGAATAAAAATCGAAAAGCAAAAATCGATATAAAAATTCTATCTTTCCGAAATTAAATCTACATAATTAGCCTCTGAGAATTCATAATATAAATCTCTCGATTCTTTCTTTCTTGTACTTGTTTTTTTCCATTCCATATAAAACATAACGCATTATCATCATTCTCATCGTTAAATCGTAGAACAAAAATTCTACATTTGCACAATTCTAATAAATCTACATCTAATTTTAATTCCAAAATCTCCTGTTACAAAAATTCTATCCTCGCTTCTTATAATTAATCTTTTCTATCATTTCTACTCTATTGAATACGCAAATGCAAACACTATATAACGATATCACCATCTATTAAATCAATCAAGATAAATTACGAAAAATTCCTTCCTCAATTCTCAAATCTACGTTATTTTAATTTCAAAATCCTTTCATTATTCCAAGATATAACCATATAAAAAATATATATATACAAAATATGCAAAGATACAATCTATCTTTCCTAATCAAATTCTCGTTATCTCAAAATCTTCCATTAATTTTCATCACTTCAATAAATACCCAATATAATCTACCCAAAATCTCAAAAGTCCTCAAATTTTCCTTCGAATACCACGAATAAATAAACGTCCACAATTCTCGGAATGAAACTTAAATTACTTCAACACCACGTAACAAAACAACACGTATGAAACTTCACTCGAACTCCGATCGAAATTTTGAGAAAAAGAAAAAGAAAAGACGCGAGGAGGGTCCTTCCCTCCGCGAAAGGACCAGGCGCGAAAGAGCAGCCGTGGTCTTCTACCGCGTAGGGCGAGAGACTAACGAGACTAACTCCGTGTTCGCGCACGGAGTCTATTTTTGAGATATAATCGCGACTCGCGCTTCCTCGAAGCCAGAACGCGTTAGCGTATGTAACCCAGCGTAGCCACGTCGACCTGGCCACGATCTACGTGTTTCGAAAAAGGCCCCCTTTCACCTGGCCTCTAACGCCCGTTTCTAACGTTCGTGACCAGCCTTCGATTTCTTTCACAATTTCACCGATTTTCCTGCGCCCCATTTCCGAATGGCGGATGGGTTAACAGGTGGTATTGCGTCGACGGATGTTGCGCTTAGACGGACTTGTGTGCGCGCATGTGAAACGTGTATCTCGAAATTTGAGAAAAATATATATTTTATCGTTGAAAATATCGTGCGAGTATAAATGTAAAATTTTGTTAGAATTCGTTGGAATGTATTAATAGAATATGTGCGGCAGCAAATGTTAAATCCTCTGAAAAATCCTCGCGACTTTCAGCAATTAAAAAAACGAAAATATCCTTGCGCGCGACGTAGGATTTTAATAATATTTGCGGTGGATAAAAAAAAAGAAGAAAGAAAAAAATAACAATAACTTTTAATGAGAAATATGTAAAATGTTTACTTTGGGGTATTGAACATTGAATTATTTCCAAGGGGACAATAAGGAAGAGGCAGAAACATTCAAACAAAACTTTTCCGATCGTGTATGCAAATATGTTTAATAAATGTACACATACAGGATATAAATGACGCATAGAGCAAAGCCAACTATCGATAAATTGCATATATGTATATATTTATAGAAAATGTTTGAATTTTAATTTTTTTCAATTCCGACTTCCTCACCTTCAAATATTCTCAAATTGTATCTGGTTTTAAGATTTTAAAATCGATTTTTCATTCATCGATTAAATAAAATAAGATATATAATTATAATTTTCTCACTTTACTTTAAACATGTTGTATATAAAACAATGTATAAATAATATATAAACCGTGGAATATATTTGTTGTTTCGAAGGTATGTATGGTGTAATAATACTTGTCTGGAATACCAGAATAGCAAAGGATACGATCAGTTATGTGACAACGTTCCGTTTATACAGGGTTAACGAACTTGGTCTGTTTTGGATGTTGCGTGTGCTAAAAGAAAGGCGAGGAGTTGCTTCATTGACTTTAATGCAGATAACTTCTGTCCCACTAGAAATTTAAAATAATGCTAAATTTTAACCAGCCGCTCGTTGAGAACAGATTGAATCTAAAATTAGACGAATGACAGATATCTGTCAGGTGACTTTAAACATTGCAAGAGATAATTGGATAATTTCTCGCGTTTTGAAAAAAGATCATTCCGATAAATTTAGATTTCTAACTAGAAGAGTTAGAAATACAGATATTTTCACGTAACGTGACAAATTTAGAAGAGAAATTTCAAGTTCAACGAATTTTTTACTCAAAGAGCGTAATTTTCTCAACATTTTCATCTTCTCTCGTTTATTTTTAAGCACGACAGTAGCACGAATAGAGGCTAAAAGGTTATCGACCCAAAGGTAAACTAAAAAATTTTTCTCCAAAGATATAATTAAAATAAAGAGAAGAGATGGCATTTGTAATAGATTTAGAAAAAAAAAAAAATTGTGAAAAAAGTTAAATTAAGCAAAAAATATGATTATTTTTAAACTTTATTACTATTCATGTGATTATTGTTGAAAGTATGCGATCAAAAAAAATATTAAAAGTATTGTATTTATAGCAAATACAAAAATATCACAAATATAAAATCTACCATGAAAATGTGGAAGTAAAAAAAAAGAAAAAAAAAAATAACAACAAAACAATTGCAACATGTATGACGCACAAAAATCACAATGGACATTATGTTTTGAGCTAATGACCTACGTTAACCCATAATTTAGTAAGATAGCGATCATTTTTAAACTATACTCTGCCAGTAGTATTATGGTATGGTACACAACAATATATTACAACTGTCTTACATCAGACGGAACGGTTTAAAAACCTGTCGGAGATAAAAAACTGATGGGTTAATTAAAATGCATCTTCCGTACGCGTTTGTGACACAAATAGAAGATATCGTATTTATTTTTAATACGATGCTCGAAAGGAAACGAGAATTGGTAATGAATTTTCATAAAAAGATACATCAAATGGTGATGATTAATACGAATCATCAGACGAATTATCGATCAATCTATCATTTTTACACACCACAGAGACATAAACATGATTTTGCAATCACGATGCTTTCTTTTTATGACCTCTCCGAATTATTAATTATCATAAAGTATTCGTAATGAAAATAACTTTTATCCAAATTTTTGTCATGAGATTTTTATCATATCGTAATTGATTCATTTCGTAAATTGATCAGATACAATTTTTTTTTTGCGATATATATATAGACAATAATTATATACAATAATGGATATTTTGTTGAATAAAAATTTTAATTTGTCGAAAAATTAAATAATTAAATTTTAAATATAAGATTAAAATAAATAAAAAGAAATGATTTAAGTGGAAATAGTTTCAAAGTGATTACATATATGACAAATTATATCTTTTTTTGATTTTTTTATTTTTCAAAGTGTTAGCATTCCTATTAAATATAATTAAATGTAAATATTGCAATTATATAATATGTTAAAATACGCAAAATATATGCGAGGATATATATGTAAAGATATTATAAAAAAATATATAGGTAAAAAATTATCTAGTTGTGATTTATTTCTTTTATATAAAAGTGACATATCATATCCCTTATATTTTTATTAATTTTAAAATAAATTTTCATTTTTATATTTTTTTTTGAATTTCGCCATGAAATCGAATCGATTCATTTTTGTGATGATTTAACAAAATGCAAGATCTTATAAAAAAAAGTAAAAATTATTTTTAACGAACAAGTAACAGATTATTATTCATTATTGCTACGTAACTACATAATTTCCAACTGATTATTTCTTGTTTTCCTTTTTTCCTTTATTACGAAACCTCCCATCGCGGAAAAACGAATCATTGATAGAAAATTATGATCATTCCTACTTGGACGAATGCAATTACTTGATACTATTTTTAGAAAGAAATATATATTTATATTTGTTTCTTTATGTACTCAAATAAAACAGTATTTTATTGCTTCGAGAATGTCACAACATAATTTGATCATACATATTTTCTATTAAATTAAAAACTGGCAACTAAAAATTATTTATATTCACAACAATAAATACATAAGTAAGTTACATTCTATTAAAATTAAATACGTTTAAATAAAATAAATAATTAATAGAGATATTCTTATATTCTTCTTATTAAAGAAAATAATAAAATTCGGCAGGACCTATGAATTATGATAAAAATTTTATTTTTTAATTAA